GCATGTATGACGTATCCAACAATACTCGCAACGTCATCTCGAATGGAGGTCCTAGCTTATATGACCTTGCCACGTTGCAGATCACCTGCAATTCCAAGCAGCTGGAGCTGTAGACTGCCTGTGGGTGAGATGTTAGCTATAGCTACCGTGAAGGAGCAAAAGGCCTCGAGGGTGCTTACCCATATTCGGCTTGGTCGGTTTCTTTTTTCAGCCGGAACAGTATTTTCTCTCATAACAATTCAGCCAGAACAGTGTTTTTCAGCTAGTTTCAGCCAAAATTCTGCCAGCCGAACGGGGCTCAAGGAATGATCGTTGGAATACCTGTACAGTGTACACACACACAAGTTTTCATAGGACAAGGAAAGCAAAGAAAAGGCTAGGCCTATTGAAGCTGACATTTCCTGGCCAATTATTGTGCTCCATTCCATCTCATATCAACGTTTCATCATCTGTTGTCTTTTCAGGGGCATATTATTGCTTGTCTTGCTCGATTGGGAGCGAGACCACCTCTTTCTAGATTTCCAAATTTCTTTGGTTGCCACAATGAGTGTATCCAATTCTAGTCACACTGCAATTACAAGCATTTTTTTAAGGGTAATTACAAGCCACACGGCATCCAATGATAGCAGAGAGAGAGACAGAGAGAGCCCGCGCGCATCAACTCCATCGGCAATAATAAAGATATAAGATAAGATTTGTTTTTCCATGCAAGTGCAGTCCTATAGCTTTCGAATTGCATACATATATATTGTGATTAAAAGATTACGAACTGTGGGGATTTTTTTTTATAAGTAATATTGTGGGGATTTTGTGTTTTATAAGAGTCTCTCGCTCTGTTTTTCTTCAAGGAAAAGGATTTTGTTTTGGATCTGCCCTGCCTCGCAAGTTGCACGTCATGTTCTGTACAAGTACAATCCAAAATTGGAATCTACATACTATATATAGGCCACACGTGATATATGAACAAAATATAAATACATATGACAAGAACGGCACGATCAAGGTTTCCCAGTGAAGACATGCATGCATGAGAAGGGCGAGCGCGCGAGGCGCACAGAGATTCTGAGAAAAATCGCTGCTCCCTTGCCGATCCGACTACGTGACACCGGCGACGGCGCCATCGGAGAGAATTTTCCTCCGTGTCCATAGAAAAGGCCCCGGAAGAAATGAATTTCTCCTCCGTTCGTTTTCAAGCCTGCATTGTGCACAGTCTAAATCGTTCTATCGCACCCTTTGCACGGTTTCGTTTTTAGTGACGGGTTAAAATGACTGAAGTGACTCAAACTTGTCCTGTCCTGTTCCACCATAGGTATATATTCTTAAATTTCGTTTCGAGTATTCGGTGAAATGTTCCTTTTCACAAGTTTTGGCAATCTGCTTGTACGTATCCAAGAAAATGGTAGGCGCTACATACATAGCTACGCTACGTTTGAAGGCACTAGTGACGAACTTTCGACTAAACTGAACCATGCATGCATGGGAAACTTCCACCTGCTGCTAGTTTCTATGCGCAACGCAATCACAAAACTCTGAAAAAATTGCTTAAAACCCGGTGACCAAGTCGCGTTGCCTCCTTCCGGAACCGTCTTCGAAGGAACGGCCGGGGCCCTGACTGAACACATGAAGTGATGAAGACCACCACAAACAAAGCCATCGCCCATCGATCGACCCCCAACCGTCACCGGTCAAAGCAACAGTTAATTAATGCACGCGAATGCTGCAACGCAAGTACGCAACAGTGCCGTGACACCATATCCGGTGATCGAGGCGATCTACTTCCTCTGGCAGCCGATCGACTGCGGCAGAGGGTTCATCGATGCTGGCCGCCGTACGCCGGCGACCGTGATGACCGGCCGGGCTTCCTGTGCTGTCCAGTCCTGCTCGATCTGCGCCTTCACGTGGAGGCCTGGATTTTTTAGCAGCATGCAGATGCAGCCCTACAGCAGCCTGACGGGGCTTGCGTGCACGACCGAAGTTGCCAGGCAGGCCTGGTGACGCTGACCAAGTGAGCTTGCAGCGAGTCCAGTCAGGCTGCTGAGTTCATTCATCAGGGCTGTACAGCATCGTTTCGCTGCTTCCCGTCTCGGACACAGGATCGCGAGTGCAGGGTAACATACACTTCGGAGTCTTTCCAAGGCTGATCCTCAGGATCCACATCGACCGTCATCGCGTACTGTACTTCCTACTACGCGATTTCAGGAACGTACGGCGGTGATATACTGTGCTTGTATCAGCACTGGTCAGGAGTGATGACGGTATGTACTGTTTTAAAGGTAGTCGTGATTTTTCTCTTTTTTTTTTACAATAATGATATGCCACGGTCTTCCGACCGTTGACGTAGCTCAACAGGAGTGAGCGTCATCTCTCTCAGCAAAAAAAAAAAAAAAACAAATCCCCACTCGCTCATCCATATCCGCCCGGCACCTCAGCCTACTCGCTCATCCTTATCTGCCCAACGCCCGACGCGGCATCGTGGCCGCTTATTCGTCCGCGCCCCTTCCCTCACCGGACGCTCGTCGGCTACGCACGCTGTGCCCTTCACCCACCGCCCAGCGCCCCATCGCCGGCCGCGTCGAGCGCCCGCTCCAGTCACATGTGCCGCTCGCTCCCTCGTCTTCCGTTAAATCGCCTCCCATCATCATCGCGCGCAAGGCCGACCCCGCCATGACCGCTAGAGAACACGTGCCGTGGCGTCCCAGGTCTTCTCTGGCCGAGCCAAGGGCACCCACCTGGTGATGCTCGCGCGCCGCGGCTCGCCGCCAGCTCCCACCTCGACCCCCGAAAACGACCGGCCCGACCTTCCCCATGTATGTTTCAGAAGTTTCAGATGTATGTTGCAATTGTTTGATCTTGATGTTGCAAAAGTAGATCGGGGGATGTTGCATATGTTTGCAAGTGTTTCAGAGGTATGTTGCAAGCGTTTGTTCAAAATGTATCTGCCAAATGTATGTTGCGATCATTTTTATCCAAATGTTGCATATGTTACAACAATATGTTCCAAATGTTTCAGCCGTTTCAGTCTTATGTTGCAGCAAGTGGTTTCATGTTGTAAGTTGCAAGTGTTTTATTTTTGGATGTTTCATGTGTTTCACACATATGTTGCAAGAGCATGTTCCAAATGTTTCATAGTCTTATGTTGTATTCATGTTGCAAGTGTTTTATGTTGTTCGGCCGAGGCGGGGGGACGGGGCACACGGCGCGCAGGGGGGCGACGGACGGGGGCGCTAAGGGGCCAGCGGATGGGGATGCTGCAGGTTGAAGCGGGCTGGGGGTGTGCTCGTCCTCAGCCGTTCATCCCGGCTCCCGTGTGTCGCCCGCGCGGAGAGTTGGAGAGAGAGGAGGGGTCAAGGGAAGGACCGGCGGGCACATGGATGGAGGCAGAGCACACTATGTGCACTTCCTTTGATCTAGAAGGACACTGCACTTCCTTTGATCTAGAAGGACGATGTGCAAGGACACTTTGAAGTCACATAAACTCATAAGTACCTCACTATTAATAATTGGGTGCTCCAACAAAGACTACATTAATTCTCACGAGACAAACTAGAAAAAAATACAAATCATGAGATTCGTATAAATATCAAAAAGAACTTATCATCAATTTGATATACTGTTATCACAATGGATAAAAATAACCATAGTGTCTATTTTGTTTTCTAAAAGCTTGTCCACATATGTTATTATGAAAAAACATTATAAAGTAACCCTTAAATCTAAATTAAATGGTACTACAAGAAACATGATCTAAAGAAATACACTAAAAAATTTACATGTAAGTTACCTACAAATGCCATTACAAAGGTATAATCTAAAGTAGCCCCTAAATATATATCAAAACTACACACTTAGATATAAATTATGGTGAGTGTGTAGTTTTGATATATATTTAAAGTAGCAGAGACACGAATACGGAGAGAGAAAACTATAATAAAACATACAAATTTTTTTAAAAGATATTCTCAAGTAAAAGTAAATTAACGAAAAAAGTTACGCATTGGCAGCCTTACTATTTTTTTTTTACCATTCACCGTGGGTTGTTTTGTAGCTTTCGAAACAAACAAGATGCCCTGACTTGCATTGCCTGCCTTGTTGTATTCACATAAACAAACCGCTAGCAAGGAAAAGGAAGTGGCTGGACCGCCAGGCAGTTTGCTTTTCAGAAACAAAGCCTTCGTGTTGCGTGTGCGCTGTGTGTCCTGTGGCTCCTCTCCTCCGCTCCGCTCATGTCCAGCGCCGCGGAGCTCCCATCACCCGAAGGAACACGACACGGCTGTTGAGTGTTGCGTGTGGCAGCGAGAGCGAGTGGGCTCCTGCCTCCTGGACCCTACCCAACTTCCGTCTTCCAATCCCCGAGCTCGCCGATCGCGCCGCGGCCGTGCTCCGCTCTCGGCGCGATCTAGCGGCAAGGAGCAGAGCGCAGTACCGTTTTGCCATGCCATTGGTCAAGCCGCGGTACAGGCATACAGCACACCAGCGTCCTGCACGGCACGGGACGTCGGCCCACAGCGTCAGCGGTAGTGGCAGACAAAACTAACGTTAGATCCGATCGTAAGCATCCATCCGTCTCGCAGCGCAATGCAAACATGCAATCATCTGTGAAACTCGAAAAAGCAGAGGTCGGCCTCGCTAGAAAAATACCCCTGTATAGGAGTAGTGGACACAGGGTTAAGTTAAGAAGAAGAAGAAGAAATTAATGAATTAATGAATCAACAAAGCGTTTGAAACTTTTGATTGGCATTCGCAGCAAGCGGCACCGTACTGTATGTTTTATTTTGCTTTGTTTGTTTTTGAGAAACGTGAGGTGAGGGAGTACAATTGGACGTCCGCGTGTCCGCTCGTTATAAACCCCCCCGCGACCCAAACTACCACGAGCTCAAGCAAGTAGAGCGCGGTGACATCACAATACACACTTGCACAGAGAGCGCCGAAGCTTATAGCTAGCTGCTCTGCCTCACCAGTCCCCGGCTTGGCCTTGACACAGCTCCCTGCCAGCCAGCAAGATGATGCTCGCGTACATGGACCGCGCGACGGCGGCCGCCGAGCCGGAGGACGCCGGCGAGCTTTCGCCCGTCACCATGGCGCCGGCCGCCGCCGCCGGCGACGCGGCGGCGATGGACTTCGGCGGGCTCCTCCGTGCCGTGCCCGCGGCAGTGGTCCGCCCGGCGAGCGCGGACGACGTGGCCAGCGCCATCCGCGCGGCGGCGCTGACGCCGCACCTCACCGTGGCCGCCCGCGGGAACGGGCACTCGGTGGCCGGGCAGGCCACGGCCGAGGGCGGGCTGGTCCTCGACATGCGCTCGCTCGCCGCCGCGACGTCGTCGTGGTCCTCCCGCCTCGGCGGCGCGCAGCAGACGATGCAGCTCGTCCAGTGCCCGTCCGAAGGCGGCGGCGGCCACTGCTACTTCGCCGACGTGCCCGGCGGCGCGCTCTGGGAGGAGGTGCTCCACTGGGGCGTCGACAACCACGGGCTGGCCCCGTCATCCTGGACGGACTACCTCCGCCTCACCGTGGGCGGCACGCTCTCCAACGGCGGCGTGAGCGGGCAGTCCTTCCGCTACGGGCCCCAGGTGTCGAACGTGGCCGAGCTCGAGGTGGTCACCGGCGATGGCGAGTGCCGCGTCTGCTCGCGCTCCTCCCACCGGACCTCTTCTTCGCCGTGCTCGGCGGGCTCGGCCAGTTCGGCGTTATCACGCGCGCACGCATCCCGCTCCACAAGGCGCCCAAGGCGGTGAGCACGCAGTCGCAGGAGCCCAAACATTACGCAGCTTGCTTGGGGCACTACTGACTGACGCTGCCATTCTCCTCGGTCGGTCCGGCGGTTGCAGGTGCGGTGGACGCGCGTGGTGTACGCGAGCTTCGCTGACTACACGGCGGACGCGGAGTGGCTGGTGACGCGGCTCCCCGACGCGGCGTTCGACTACGTGGAGGGCTTCGCGTTCGTCAACAGCGACGACCCCGTCAACGGGTGGCCGTCCGTGCCCATCCCCGGCGGCGCCCGCTTCGACCCGTCCCTGCTCCCCGCCGGCGCCGGCCCCGTCCTCTACTGCCTGGAGGTGGCCCTGTACCAGTACGCGCAGCACCGGCCCGACGACGACGAGGACCAGGTACGTAGCAGTAATTGCCAACGCCCTTGGTCCCTTGCGTGGCGCATTCCCGTACTTGCCCCTCGGCAGCTGTAGCGTGGCGTGTACTTTTCCGCGGGGCATGTCTGCCTCAGTGCCTCGCCTCGTCGTCGTGTATCTCCCGCTGGATTCGGTGACGGGAGCGCGCGCCTCCGGCATGCCTCCCCCAACCTACCCAAGTGTGCCCCTGCTGCGCTGCGTCCTGCCAAACCACCCTACGCACGCACGCGGGGCCCGGCCCGCGCCAGTCACGCCGCGCCGCGCCGCACGGCCGCGCCTCGATCTCGCTCGCTGGTGATCGAATCGGCGCGTACAATGCGGCATGGCCCCGATCGAGCCCCACACCCCGCAGCCGCAGCGGCCGTGACGCGATTGCGCTGCCCTCCGGCCCGTCCGTGACCCAGCGGATCGCGTCTTTTGGCAACGCCCGCGCGCTCGCGCCCGCGTCAACATATCGCCCAGCCGTGCCCTCTGTGTCGTCCGTCCCCACGGAGCACAGCACAGCTCAGCTCACTTTTTCTCCGCCACGCACGCACGCTTCGTGCACTGCCGCTCCCGTCATGCTGACCAATCCACTCGGTTTTTCTCGTTGTGCCTGCAGGGGGAGGGGGTGGCGAGCGTGAGCCGCCGGATGATGGCGCCGCTCAAGTACGTGCGGGGCCTGGAGTTCGCGGCGGACGTCGGGTACGTGGACTTCCTGTCCCGCGTGAACCGGGTGGAGGAGGAGGCCCGCCGCAACGGCAGCTGGGACGCGCCGCACCCGTGGCTCAACCTCTTCGTCTCCGCGCGCGACATCGCCGACTTCGACCGCGCCGTCATCAACGGCATGCTCGCCGACGGCATCGACGGGCCCATGCTCGTCTACCCCATGCTCAAGAGCAAGTGAGTGGAGCGTTCTCTCTCTGTTTTTCGCGCCCATCCCTGCTCCTCCTTTCCTCGCACTGCGTGCCGTACAGGAGTGGATGCAGTGTACTGCCGTTCAGTGGCGCGACGTGCAGTTGCCGTTTGCGGCAAAGGGGGCCGGGGCGCATGTGAGCCGCCTTGCCTGCTCTCTGCTCGTCGTGTCGCTGACGTCTGGTCCTCCGGCTCCGGGACACTTGCTGAATCGACCGTACGTACGTAGTACCTGTAATACGATGGGCCCGAGCTTCCGTGATTCGCCATCGCCGCTTCTGTGTTTGGATTTAGCCGTGTCGTTTGCTGCCCATATAGTTAGGAGCCACTAACCCCCAATCTTATGGAGTAGCACTGCAGTAGTACTATGATGATTGACAAATTATTGCTCCATCCACCCGACTCGAGGCTACTGCACAGTCCATGTCATGTGGGCCCCGATAGGCAGTGGTTTCAGTTCACAGTCCTAACGTGTGCACTGCAGGTGGGACCCCGACACGTCGGTGGCGCTGCCGGAGAAGGGCGAGATCTTCTACCTTGTGGCGCTGCTGCGCTTCTGCCGGCCCGGCGGCCCGGCGGTGGACGAGCTGGTGGCGCAGAACGGCGCGATCCTCCGCGCCTGCCGCGCCAACGGCTACGACTACAAGGCCTACTTCCCGAGCTACCGCGGCGGGGGAGGCGGAGTGGTCGCGCCACTTCGGCTCCGCCAGGTGGAGGCGCTTCGTGGACCGCAAGGCCCGGTACGACCCGCTGGCGATCCTCGCGCCGGGCCAGAAGATCTTCCCCCGCCGGGCCCCGGCTGGGCGTCCGTCGCGCGCCGTGTAGTCTAGTCTAGTCTAGTCTAGCAAGGGGGGACGACGGGAGGAGGCTGCCGCCTGCTGGTATGGTAGACGATGATCGCGCTGCTAGCTGTTGCCGGTAATGATGGTGATTACGCTGCTGATCCTGGTGATGATGGACGATCGAGGAGGTAGCCGATGGTGGTGAGCAGGGCAATGACGGCGATAGGGCCACCGTTAGGTGCATCGATCGGCAAATTAAGGGGATTGGTGTGTGGAGATCTGCATGAACTTTCCTCCCTGAATGAAAAAAATATACGTATGAGCGGCGTGAAGCTAGACGCAGGAGGAAAAACGAAAGATGTAGTAGCCTTTTTCGCTCCATGCATGCTTGCACATTTTCCTCCCATTCGTGTCTCTCAGTGTCTGTGTTTCTCTCCCCTCCTTATAACTTCGCCGGCCGCCGAGGCCGAGGCGATGTGAGATCGCGACGCAACGCAGCGACGCTGGATTTGTCCGCTCCGCCGCCGCCGTGGCGGTGGCGTGCGCCCGCAAGCTGTTCCGTTCCCGTTCCGTCCCCCGCGGTAGCTCTCGCTCGCCGTCCTACGCCCGCGCACTGGTCCCCGCCCGGCACCCCACGTGGCACACCAGCCCGATCCAAACGCCGCGACCGCGGGGCGGCGGGGCCGTTGGTTCGCGGCACCGGTACCTTTCTGCTGCTCCCCTGCCCTGCCTCGCTCGGCGCTGTCTGTATACGACGACCGCGAACAGAGCGCGGCCAAACCGGCGGGTCTCGGTCGGTCTCGCCGCGAACTGTGCTGGCTGGCGACGCGAGCCGCGGGACGCCGACCGATACCGACACCGATACCGAGGAGCGCGACGGTGACCCCGTCCGTTTCTGGGGCGGGCGGGCGGCGTTTTCGTTTGGAAAATTTGTGGACTGGGACTGGTATAAACACGATCGGCACGTATACTACAAGTATTCCTTTCCCTGTCGTGCTCGCTCAGTTGCATTCCGTGACGCGAGCCGGATCGCGACGGAAGCGGCTCAACGAGCGTCCGTTGCTACTTGCTAGCATCTGTCCAGCGTCGTAGCGTGACAACCCCTCTGCCGTCGCGACAGATCGGCGCTGCTTCCAGAACAGGGTCATTGGTTACACGCCGCCTCGATCGTCATTGATCAGACCTTCTGGTTACTACTACTACTTGCCCAGCTGTAGTAGGTTCGGGCCCAGCTTGTCGGGCACGTGTGGCCACGCGCGCAGCACACGTAAGCTGCCGCACAACACGACCGACGCTGCGAGCAGAAAAATCGGCGAGATCCATCAACCGATCGGTGCTACGGAACGGAACAGATTTTGGCTGTCGACTGGCCGGAAACGAGCCGGCGACCTCGATCGATCGGCCCCCATCGCTGTTGCGCTACAGGCTGCTGGCAAAAGACGCTGTCGAGGCCGATGGATGGACCGATGATGATCCACGATCGATCGCCCGTAGGCCGTAGCAGCAAAAGCGTTCGTTAGTTAATGTATCAAGCTGCAGAAACTTATCCCCAGAATTAGGTACGCGAGGGCGACTCCTGGATAGATTTACCTCATCTCTTATCGTCGTCATCCCTTCCATGTCTCTCAGGAATTTTACTGAATCTTTTCGATCGTTTATCAGTACCAGGATCCAAGCCGCCGGAGAGCGAGCTTTCGGGCGACAAAAGGCGCTGCTCGAGATCGGCGAGGGGATCAGCGGGGATCTGCCGGGACGACGACGCCGCGCGTTTTATATTGGAACAAACAACTGCCCCCAAGCGGTGGCTTTCTGACAACGCAATCTAGGCTATGAGTAGTGTCGTCAAAGCGACCGTATCCGCAATCCATCCATCATCCTTAAATTAACAAACTTTTCCTTTCCTTTTCTTCTGTTCCTTCGGATAATTAATTAATTCGTTAATTAATTAAAACAAGAGATCAAGAAAGACGGAGAAGCAGTAGTCCGCGCTGCCGCCGGCAATTGTCTTGTTCCATTGCTACGGTCCACCTGTTTTACACACAAACGACAGCGGAGAAGCAGTAGTCCGCGCTGCCGCCGCCATTATTGAGTTCAGCTCGGGCGTCCTTTCGCTGCGGTCGGGAGCCCGGACCGGGCGCACGAAATGGATGGACGCGAGGGGAGGAGAATTTTTATTTTTTAATCAATATTTCAATAATAACGGTTGCAAAAAATATTTTCAGATCTAATACTTGTGGTCGTGTTATGGCGCGACCAAACAACGCTGTCGCACCAACGCATATGGCGCGGCAACATCTGCCATATTGGATGACGTTTTCGACGTGAAAAAGCTTGTCGCGCCACGCCCGGTGGTGTGATAGGATTGTCTTGTCGCGCCACCGGGAGTGGCGTGGCAAGACTAAATTTTCGAAAAATCATAACTCTTCAATATGATGCCAGATGAAGATGATTTTTATATGAAAATTATATATCTCGACGAGATCTACAACTTTCTAGTTTTAAGTTTTTTCGTTCGAGGACGTTAAGATACTCAAAATAATAATAAAAAATTTCAGCACCATAATAATCGCATACCAACGCTTGACGCATTTAAAAAAATAATATCTTTTTTGTATGGTGTCAAATGAAGATATATTTTATATCAAAGTTGTAGCCCTTAACGAGATATATAAGTTTATAGTTTTGAGTTTTCATATTTGAGGTCGTTAACATACTCTAATAACTAATGTAAAGTTTTAGCAGCATATTAATCGTGTATCAAAACTTATCTTTTTAGAAAAATCGTATATTGTTTATTTGATGTCACATAAAAACTACTTTTTAAATAAAAGTTGTAGATCTCATTAGAAGCTTCAATTTTGATATAAAAAGTACCTTCATTTGACACGATACAAAAATGATATTATTTTTCTAATGCGACAACGGCTAGTACATGATTACTATGCTACTGAAATTTTATATTATTTTTTAGAGCATCTTAACAACTTCAAATGTTAAAACTCAAAACTACAAAGTTGTAGATCTCATTGAGAGCTACAACTTTCATGTAAAAAGTATCTTTATTTGACAACATAAAGAAATGATATTATTTTTCTAATGCAACAATTACTAGTACGCGATTATTATGTTCCTAAAATTTTATATTATTTTTTTGAGCATCTAAACGACTCCAAATGTTAAAACTCGAAACTACAAAGTTGTAGTTCTTATTGAGAGCTATAGTTTTTATGTAAAAAGTATCTTTATTTTGACAACATACAAAAACAATATTATTTTTCTAATATGACAAGTACTAGTACGTGATTATTATGCTTCTGAAATTTTATATTATTTTTTTGAACATCTTAACTTCCTTAAATGAAAAAACTCAAAACTACAAAGTTGTAGATCTCATCGAGAGCTACAATTTTCATATAAATTTCATCTTCATACGACATCGTATCCAAGAGTTATGATTTTTCAAAGATTTGGTCTTGTCACGCCACTCCCGATGGCGGGACAGAATAATACTGTCATGCCAGCGGGAGTGGCGTGACAGCGTTTTCCACATCAGAAACGCCATCTAACGTGGCCGATGTTGCCGCGCCATTACATGTGGTGCCACAAAAAAAGGAGCAATTATTATTAAAATATTAAATAAAAAAGGATTAAAAATAAAAATAAATCCGCAAGGAGACCGATGCACTGAATAAAGAGGTGTCGGGTTTGCAACTGATACATGCTCTTAAGTTGTAACTGTCGTAGATGATTGATTGTTTATTTTGTTGATTGATATGCTGGGTGAGAGCGGCTTGACTCGGAGAAGCATGTACGTGTCATGTTTTGTTTTGGTTTGATTGGTGTTTGTGGGCAGCGTTAGTCATAACACAATTGACAAAACAAATACCAATGCTGTGGTGGTTGTTATGCTTTCGCTTCTATTATATTACGTGAATGTTTTTTTCTTCAAAAAGCCATGGACGAGAGCACGCCGGACATATATAGGCAAATACAATAAGAAGAAAAGAAAAAAAAATCTCGTCCCTCACAAAGGTGACGACAAGACCACACCCAAAATAAAAAACAATACTGGCGAAACTACCGAGGCAACGACTGCCAAGCGCCACCGTGAACTTCACGGAAAATAAACATCGTAGCAGGGAAAAAAGGGGAGGAGGTTCTCATAGGAAACTACATCCACAAGTGTCGCAAACGCCGATTGGATAACCAAGGTTTTTCGACCCGTACTACTATTGGGTAACAGGCCTCACTACAATGCTTTTTTATGTGTTGTTATTGTTCTTTTCCTATTAATATGTGTTCGGTAAAGTTTTTGTTGGATGCACTTCTATCATTTTTTTATTTTAACCTAAAAATACCACAGTACTAAAAAAAGCACGTCATAAATTAATCTTTTAGAAACTAGTTCTTTTAGTTGCTCCAGAGACCGTGAGTTGCCACTTGATCACGTTTAACGTATTAACATCGCTACAAAGCTTTTCTAGGTATGTCATTGATGTGGAGAACATAGAAACCTCTAAAATTCTTGTAGTCTTTTATGTAGATACTAAAATAAAAAATGGCATATTTTGCTTGGACCAGGTATCATAACTTTTGTAGTTTTAAAACTATTTTTTTCCTAAGATGTTATATTTCAATTTTTGGTTAAGCTCTTTTTGAGCTAGGAATCTAAAAAAAATCTAATTTTCCAAGTAGGTGCTAAAAAAACAAGCATGACTCATTTTGTTTAGATCCCGTGTCATGGCTTTTGTAGTTTGAAAATTAAAATTCTTCCCAGAATGTTATATTTGTTTTTTTTGTTTAAGCTGTTTAGCCCTAATATGGTTTCTAAAAATCCACAAAAATCACCTAAATTCTTAGTTCAGAAAGTAGTATTTTGTCATGTAATTTCCAGCATATGTGCTCAAGTGAAATCTAATGTTCATTAACAAAGCACATGCTCAAAATTAGATTGTAATGTGATTTTTTTAAAACATTCAAAACAAGCTCAAGAAACTTTCATGGATGCTAAAAAAATGCAGAGATGGCATGAGGTGCATCTAATGCATGTATATAGAACATATGATCGTTTAGAACTAAAATTGTTCTCGAAATGCTATATTTTAGTTTTCGATCGAGCTGGACCCAAAATGATTTCCAAAAATCCAGAAAAACATCATCTACATTCTTGGTCCTAAAAATATTATTTTGTCATGTAATTTCCTAGCATACGTGAGCAAGTGAAATCCAAAGTTCCTCAATAAAGTGCGTGCAAAAAAAAAGATTTTAATGTAAAATCAAATTGAAA